ATATAAATTGTAGTGCGACGGAAGGTGGATTTGAAGATACAGCATATGCCACAGTATCAATGATTGATAGAACAAGGAAAAGAGTAATTGAAATTCCTCGAAAAACCTTGAGCGTGGGACTGTGGGAACATCGTTTAATGTGCCACTTGAACACTTTGTATCCATATCGTCTTAATCGCAAGTGAATGGGTTCACGATCATTTTTTAGTATGACGCGGTTATTCGAGAAAGGTTCCTCTATTGTCCAGGGACGTTGTCGAGTCGTGGGAAGTTCCTCAGAAGCTGAGATTCTCTGCGATAAATTTCGTTCTTCCATTGGTGAAGCAAATACTATAAAAGGAAAAAAACAAAGTGAACTTTTTCACACAAAAACAAGCACACATAGTATTCTTTTCCTGACTAAACAGACAAACATCACAGTAATAACAACAAACAAACTTTGTTTAAGATTTATCAACATGAAGCTGGCTGAAATATCATACTCCCTATCCAGAGATGTCCCAATACCAATACGCCGGGTATCGGGACGCAATAGCCCCAATCTTACATGAGACGGTATTGGCCCGAATACCCGGTACTAGGTATCCTGATCAGGGTACTGAGGAATCTGAGTGAATTTGGGGTATTCGAGTGAATATCCGGTACAGGTACCCTGATCAGGACATCCAGTACCGGGTATTCGGGCCAATATCCCAAATTCACTCAAATTCCCCAAATTCCTCAGTATCCTGATCAGGATACTCAGTACCGGGTATTCGCGCCAATACCACAAATTCGAGAGGTATCGTGAAGTGAGTACCTGGAGTATTGGTATTATGGCACCACTCTCCCTATCAGTTCCAGTCAAGCAAAGTCTTACTTGCAATAATAGACAACGCTATGTTTGATGTTAGTCAAAGCGTAATATATAGTGTGATAATGCCAATCATCAAATTCGGAAAAAACCCATAAAGAATGGTTTTTTCCAATATTTGAAGTACCTCTTTGACATCATGAACAGCAGGTAATGATCCACAGGCTATTCAATTGTTTTTTTTATCAATGAATTGAAAAGTATGAATAATACTTCTTTACCTGTGTAGGTTCCTTTGCTGGAAGAAAAAACAGCCTGTGGCTTTATTTACATTTGAAGAAATTTCTTCCGTTTGTTTAACGCAACTGAATAGGAAGAAAAAGGAAATCGATTATTCAAAAGTATTGCGACTATTACATCATTTTTTTCTAATTTCTTCTCAGAGGGTGAGGGTGAGGGTGAGACCAGCAGCCATAACACGTGTTTCACTGCAGCAACGCAGGTCACGAGATGGCCAAGAATCTCAATGATTCAACGAAGAATCACAAGATCAATTTCTACTGAGACACAATTCAATACATATAGAGAAATTCTTCCGACTGTGGTGAGACCAGCAGCTATAACACGTGTTTCACTGCAGCAAGGATGATTTTCACATGTCTTCACTTATTCGGATGAAGAATCCAAAATAGATTCAATTATAATGTTATAATCTGCGATATATTAGTATCATCGCAACATAGAGACAAATGTTTTTATTGTCAAAAAAGATTCGTTGATCCAATTCAGAGAAAGGAGAAAAAAAACTTTTCTCTTTTTCTTCCGAGCTGGGTGAATAAATTCAGGTAGAAACTTTTCTTCTTTGTTGGCAAAAGTTGCGAAGAAGAATAGGTTGCCGGGGAACTACCAAAACCGCACCGTAAATGACATCGAAGAAAGATCCTTTTCATTTCATTCCAACTCGTTTTCTTCGTTGCATTTTCAGAAGGAAATCGAAGAAAAATCATTTTCATTGACATCCTCGGTGCTGAACGAAGTGAAGATCGAATGCCCGATGGTTATGAAGGACTGAAGTGGGAAAATTTTGAATATGTTGAAGAATCTTATGCACAGTCGTCTAAGGAGAGTGAATGAAGAAATCTCTTCAAACACAGTCAATATCGAATTTGCAACACATCAGGATCTACATTGCTCTACATCAGATCATCCGAAAAATTGTTTTTCGTTCTTTCCATTCATGCCACTGTTGTTAATCGATCGAATAGTGATTGGGAGATCATTGGTTACAGAGAGAATATGAAAACTCACTCGAAACAAGTGAAATTCTTCGGAGCTGGAACGTATCACCTGATCCGATTAGATCAGTTTATCAAATCGATGAACTGAAATTCATCACTTTTGACGGGTATCCCGATCTTTTCATTGCAATGATCGAAATCGATAATTGAACTGAAAAGTTCTCCTTGCAGTGAGAGATTTTCTGTTCATTCCAAATAAAAAACTGGTCTCTCGAAGAAGAGTATCAAAGAAAAATCGATCGGTTCACTGGATCGAAAGACATGAATGTGCCGGTCGACCTTGGATGGCTGTTTGATCTTCTCCATCGATGATGGGTCGGACCCATGTGGACTTTCTCGATGATGGAAGACCCGTGCCCAGTGGGGGATAGATGCAATACACAACATCGAAAACGAGCTCCTTTTTCAATGAATCCATTTTTGTCCCGGGATAATCTAAATCGATTCGAAGATTTTCCTTGTTGAAGACGAAGATGAAGAGGAAATTCACATTGAAGAACGATTTGTAGGGCCTCTTGCATTTCATATTCTGATGCTGACAGATCACAAGCTTGGAAGAATTGAAATAATTCCTCTTCATCCAATTTTTCGTTGAAGGAAAGGGCATTGAAGATCGTCGTCAATTCTAAATATCGAAGAAGAACATCGATCAACAAAAAAGAAGAAGAAAGAAAGAAAGAAAGAGAGACTTTTTTCTTGAAGAAGAAAATCTTTCGCTTGTTCAACTTGAAAATCGAATTTGTGATCAGATGCTTGACGCATCTGTGCAATTTTTTGAATGGTTTTTCGATAACGAGAAGAAAAGTCTGTCCAAGTCCAACCGAAGGTTTGAACCTATCGAAGAACGAGGAATAGGTGAAGATCGATCGAAAAGAGAGAGCGAGAGAGAGATGCACTTGTTCTTTCAAAGCGATCCACCGGGATCGAACAAGAAATCCTCTCCACCATCTCTGAATACAAGTTGCCGCACGATTCAATGTCTCTTTCCAATATCGATCATCGATCGGATTGAAGGCGCTGGAAAAGATTCATCAAGAGGGAAAACATCGAAGAACGAAGAGAAGAGAAACAGAATCTCACACAAAGATGGGAAGTGATGGGCCTGTTCGTATTGAAGATTTTCTTGTCGAATTCTAGAGGAGAAATAGATGAGAGAAGAGAGGAGAGGAGAGACTTGGATTGTTCGATGAGTTGTTGTTCCACGAGAATGGCTCTTTTCGCGGAGAGGATTCTTCGATGTTGTTTGTCTCTTTCATTCCATTGTTGTATCGATGGACGACGACTGTCGATCGACTGACGTCATTTCAAATGTTTTCGATAGGCTCTGCAAACGGAGAAAATCTTCTCCAATGTCTTCAGCAGTGATGATCCGAAGGAGGAACCTTCGAATTTGGATGGCCGCTTTCTGTTCTTCTTCTCGTTTGAATCTTTCCTCGGCGGAAAGCCTTTTTCGATAATTCTGAGGAAGAAATCCGCGAAAAGTCTTTTTCATATCCACATCGCTTTTCGCTTGTTGATAGATCGAGATGAAATGCTCCGATTGATCCTTAAAGAGAAACATTTCATCGAGTGAAGTTCTCGAGAAAGAAAAGATCGTTGAAGAACGAACGGGATCTTCTGTTAAGAAAACACTGGGAATGGGTCTTCCCCTGCTTGTTTGATCGAAGATGGTCGAGAAGAATGTAATGTCGCATTGGTCACGATCGAAGTGGGAAACACCGTTCGTTTGCCAAAGACTTTTTCTCTTCGACACATCTGATCCACATCTGAACAAATCGATGAAGAAGGGTTCATCGCTGGAGTGGAGAAAAGAGACCTTGGCGCGTTCGAATATTCAGAACACTCAGATCAGCTGGAGGGCGTCGAGGCATTTGTTCAGTCATTCCGTCGTCAATTCCAGAAGACGAAGACGAAGATGAGAGAAGAAGGACGATGTGTTCAGAGCAGAATACGGTTGATGACGCTGCACGAGAGGGGAAATCTCATCACATTGCGATGGATGAACTTTGGAAGATGTTCGAGTGGAATTGGTGTGTTTCAGAAAGGAATTCTCATCGGGAGATGAGTAGAGAACCAGAGCGAAGTGCTGAGGATTTTCCAATGATTTGATTTGAATGGTTTGTTCAATTGTGGCATCATCTTCGACTCGTTCAAAAGTGGTTTGTCGTTGAAGAGGAATTCGTTTGGATTTCGTCAATTGAAGTGTTTGACTAATATCGATTAAACTATTCGTTCAGCGAAGTTTTCTTCCTTCAAAGACCGGTTGACCATTCTTTCTAAACAGAGATTCGTTTGGTCAAATCGATGAAGAAAAGCTCCTCTGGAAGGACTTTGGATAATCTTTTTCAATTTGTTGGATTGATCATTGAAGGTGTTGTTCGCCTTGATGAGGTCGAGCTAAGATTTGTAGGGGAAGAAATGGTACACCAATTTTGGCACTGATCAAGGGATCGTAGTGTTCCAAAAGTTCCATTTATCTCAAAGAGAATTGATCGAACGATTGAGGAAGAGCGAGAGACGATCTTTCTCTTTCCGAAGGATTTTCTTCATCTGGAATTGTTCGATAGATTTGTTTGGAAGAGTTGCGAATTAGTCGATAAATGTTTCTCTTTCGGCACATTGTCATTGGAAATGTCTTCTTTCAGACCATCGGGTGTGGGACGAAGATCTCGATCAGTTTCTCGCCGAGTTTCATCAATTGTCTCACTGGTCAAATTCAATCCAGGTGGATCAACTGAGAAGAGTCTTCGCGGATTTCCTCTCCGATCTCCTTTCGTTCTTCTTACTGATCTGTTCATCACTGCTGCTCACACTCTGTTCCTTTTTCCTTTCCTGATGGAAACTCTACGTCGACAACGACGAAAGAGTGAAGAGAAACGATCTAGATGAGCAGACGAACTTGATGGAGATTATGGTAAATTCGGTTGAGAAATTTTTCCTCTCCAATCTTTCAGTTTGTTGTTAGTCTTTGTTGGTGATGGGGTGGAACCTTTGGCTGGATGTCGATGGGCGCGTGGAACTTTCTCTTCAGTCTCTTCATCATCGATCATTTCAATCATTTGTTCAGCGGAATAATTTTCATCTGTCAAAAGATCTTTCAATCGAATCGATTCACTAAATCATTCGAAGAACAATGAAGACATCTCTTTTCTTCTCGTTGTTCATCGATACTTCGGTGTCTGTTGACCGAGAACACTCGGTCCAACCATTGGATGATGCTCGTACGGTCCGTAAGTCAATCGAGCGGATGGTAAACGAAAGCCCCGAATGGCTTCCAGACCGACCTAAATGAATGAACACAAAGGGGAAAAGATCTGTCATTTGCCATGACGAGGAAAGGCGGAAGAACAGATCGCATCGGTGAGAAGTCTTAGGAAAGCTCGAATTCACTGAGGTGAGATGTCGATGGGCAGTACCTTTTCTTTACTCTGACTCACTTGACCTCCTACATTTGCTGCAACATCACACATCTGAGTCAATGTTAAGCCTTCACCATTCGATCTTCGAGTGTGACTAGACAACGTTTGAAGAAAGATTTTCCCGTCGAATGAAACTCTGATTAAGAAGAAAATGTCAAAGAAATGTTTCCTCACCTCAGTCTCGATTGGGGAATGTATTCACTAAAGATGGATTCTCTTCCCGGCATCAGCAGAGCCACTCGAGACATTTGTTCATCAGCCCGATCAAAGAAATGACCCAATACATAATCAGAGACTAAAACAACGAGCATTTCATTCGATCGTCGATCGCAGGAAGAAGAAGAAGAAGAAGAACCTCTGGATTGATTGGGATGTGATGAATTGATTGATGCGCTGGGGAATCGGTTGTTGGATGTTCTTTTGCTTCTTTTGCTTTTATTCTCTTGTTCATATCTCATGTCGGAAGGTGTTCCACTTCTTCCACAGAATTGGGAATGAATCATCTGTTGAACATAGATTGAAACATCTTCAGCCGCATCGGGGCTGGGAAATGGTTTGGAGAGAACTCGTTTGGTTGAAAACCTCTTCAGGTGCTCGCCTCTAATTTCAATGATTCTTTCCCGATTGATAGTGGATAGTGTCTTCGTAAAAAGGCCTAGAAGGATTTGAGTTCTTATTCTTTCATTGAAAAGTTATGAATGTTTTTCTGTTACGTGTATCGGACATCATACAAAACATTGAAAAAGTAATAAAGATCTTAGAATAATCTTCTTAGAATAAAAAAGATCTTAGAATAATCTACTTTCTTTTCTTTCTTCCTTTTTATTTTGGTAACATACCATGGTACATAATAAAAGTTCAGACATAAGAATGACTTGCAACAGAAAAAATAAATATGGAATTCACGGTTTCTGCCTACCATGACCAACAACTAAAAATAGCGAGAGCAATGCTTTTCACACTAGTTTTTGGGGCAAGATGAGTGCATTACATACAAGTTATACTTTACGCTGTCACACTGTTGTTCCTCCGCTAACTTACACTCATCTTGCTTACAAATGATGAAAAACAAAGATTGGAAAACAGAGAACGGCTAAAGATGAAGATGTTCTTTTAAAGCCGTTTTAAAGTTTTTGAGGGAATTGATGGAAACGACTTTTTCTAGATCTTTAGTATTCCAGTCTTTTGCAGTCCTCCAAAAGAAGGATGACTGGACAGTTTCGAAAGGAGTGAAGGGTATGTCGACCATATAAGAATGCGCTGCTCGGAGAGACCTAAAAGCCAATTTAGCAAGGAAATCCTGAGATTCGAGAAGAGTCAAATTATTGTAAATTTTGTAAAATGATATGAGTCGAAAGTACTGGCGTCTGACACTGAGATCGGGCAAACCTAGCTTATTGACTAGAGATAGACTATCAGTTTCGTAATTGAAGTTTCTGGTAATAATACGACTTGCTAAACGTTGAACCGCCTCTAGTGGTTCAAGATGTGCGGTGAATTTCGAATCGTAAAGAGCACTACAGTACTCGAATCTTACTAAGATCTTAGAATAATCTTGTTAAGATCTCAGTAAGATTTCACTTACATTTGTCTGAGGTTTTAGACAAGTCTTACTAAGATCGTGAGACCCAAAAATTTTAAGATTTAATAAGATCTTACTAAGATTATATTGTTTAAGACTTTTCCAAGAGTGGGTAAGAATTTCGAATCGTTGCATAGCTGGCGTTAAAGGTCGGTGCGTCGAGTGCACCAACGTGGTTTCGTCTGTCAATTACTTTGGCTGAGTGAATGAATCAGTTGCCAGCTGTGGGTTTCCGTTGCGGTAGAGATGGCTGTGAGTTCTGATTCCTTTCAAGAGGAATATCTCATTGGTCTACCTTCAGAGCTCCTACGGATTTCGTAACCATTGCTGTGGAGGCGATTTGTGCAAACACAAATGTTGAATTCAGACTCTCTGTTCATCCTTCTGACCTCGGCTATCTCCATCGCTAGCGATGGCGGTGAACAACGAAGCTTTCGGACGAGTGAAACAGATAAATGCATTATGTCATGCGTTCATACCCCGCTGTCATAATTTCTGAGGGTCTACGTAATGATCAGTTGATTGTTTGCAGGCCTTTTCAGATTTCACAGGCTCTTTCGTTCATTGGTGCACATCACATTCATCTGCCGATTGCTTCTCGTCGGATTGACCTGGTTGTATTTCCAAATACATTATGGCGAATCGACAGAAACGCGTGAACTCTGAACGCATCGAATCGGCAGCCTCGTCACGTTCAAAGCGAGCCCGATTTGCGGACTCATTCGAGCGAGAAGAAGGAGTAGTGGCGGTGAAAGAGCAACAAATAATGAATAATCTATCTCAGGCCATCAGCGATCTATCTGTAGAGACGTTCGGTGGTCAGTTCGCTCATCGAGAGTATAAAAGCGACGAGTGCGATCGACAAAACGTTCCTTGCCCGTTTTATGAACAAGGTTTACCATGCTTTCGAGCCATTCGCACGGAATGAAGCGCAACGTCAAGCGTTTAGAAAAATGCAGATTGCCAAAGAGGATGTACTAGGTGTGGAACCTCGTCACCGTGTCGCACACAAATTGATCACAGAGCCAATCGAACGCACACAAGAACAAAAGGACGAACGCAGCGACGATCTACACATGACACGCCAGCTACAATCGGTCGATTATTGAAACACTTCGAATATCTTGCTAGAAGCTGCTTTATTTTCCGCTGTTGCTGTGTAAGACGTGGCGTGAGCAGAAAATAAACAGTGCTGATTTTCATCCTCACTAAATCCTTCACGTGTCTTATGTGATTCATCTGATTGAGTATTCGACGCACGATGATGTCTTCGCTAGTCATGGTTAACTGATCGGCTAAGGATACTCCTAGTCTCCGTCTTTCGTTCGCATTCATTGCATACTTGATTACCTTCATTCAGTCTCCAAAATGAACAGAAACAACGTCGCTTACTACGCAGCTGCCACATAAAAATTCGGAGCGGATATGTGGATACAGTGCAACGTGTTCGGTGGATTCCACAGTAAGCTTTGATCATCGGCATGCATTCACTTTTGTTGTACATCAAATGAACAATGTTCGTACGAGTTGTATCACTGTCTTTTTGTTAGCTCCCGTCGATCGACCATTGAGTCGAATATTGGGCGGTGATCCGAATCAGCCGTACCGTGGACTTCACGGCCTCAGCTTTGTCGGCATTCCTAGCAGCTATGGCACTGATTATCGTTATCGACCGTGACGCGATTGGATCGATAGCGAAACCGCAGCGTCACACACGATCGTGGCTCTTTTTCTCCAACTTGACATTTTACACCTGAACAGAGCAACAAATTCTGCTCGATCCGACCGCCATGACCACTTACATTGAATTTTATCGATGGTTAAGAACCAAGTCTTTTTCCAAAAGAGCATGACGAACTAGGGAAGGAGAAGAAGACGAAGAGAGCATTGCTCTGGAGAAGTGACGGACTCCGAGTGACACTTATCGTGTGTCCTTCGCAGTAATTGAATTTTCCATTGTAGAGCCGTAGGAATTGCATACCGAGTTGCTCTATCCTCACCGATTGGCTTGGTTTGAAGGCATCGACTAGTTTTTCGAATGTTTTCTTCCTAGAGAACCAAACAGGCAAGCGTCTCACTGGAGATCTCCTTCGTTTCAGCTGATTTACTTTCGTAGTACGTGCAAAAGAATCGATTGAATCACGCGTCGTCGTCGAACAGGCGCCATTCGTTGCGGCGGCAAAAACGAGGCGTAGCGCAATACGATACCAAAATATGTGATTGAAATTTGTGCACCACCTTTACTTACACCCATTCCTAAGAATATATTATTATTTAGACTCAATGTTTTATCTTTAAATAATAACCATTGATATCGTTGAATTACTAATTTTGTTGCATTTGGATGCCACGTCGATGAAACAACAGTAACGAGTGACGGAGTTTTCACTAATCGAATCTTCAATTCTGTTACAATAACAAAGAAACCTCCACCGCCACCACGTAATGCCCAATATAAGTCGGGTTCATGAGTTTCATTTATTATCAATATTTCACCTAAAATAAACACATTTCATATACGTCTAAAACGTTGTACAATTACAAAAAATTTATGAACCTTGTGCTTTGCTCCTCCTCGCGTTCGCATTTTCAAGTTTTACACATGAGCAATGGACAATTTTGACTTGCGGAAATATAATTTTTTTTGGATATTTAACGTTTTTTAGAATTCACTGAACTTCCATCGAAAGGTGAGTAGATTCAAAAAATTTTCTAATGAACCCACAAACTGCTCACACAATGACAAAAATAAAATCTCCCACTACATTTCAAATATTTATATACGTCAGAGAAGGTACCAAGAAAAAGTCTTTTTTCAAGACATTCATCGTTCGCTGAAAGTTCCTTAGAGTGGCAAAATCTATCCAAATAATCGCTAAATTATATCCAATTTGGGCTAAGCCTCACGAGAAAATCGCTTCAGGTGCCCACCTCTAATTCCAATGATTCTTTCCCGATTGATAGAGGATAGTGTCTTCGTAAAAAGGCCTAGAAGGATTTGGGTTCTTATTCTTTCATTGAAAAGTTATGAATGTTTTTCTGTTACGTGTATCGGGCATCATACAAAACATTGAAAAAGTAATAAGTTTAGGAAAACAGCAACTTAAGGCTTGAAGTTTTTTGTCATAGTGTTACTAATCGTCTGTGAATAACACAGAAGTCTCAGGCTTTTAGCTACTTCTTTGCTTGTGTTATCAAACTTTACTAGTTTTAGGAAAAGAAAAAAGATTTTTAAAACATTACTTGTAAACTAGAAAAAATTGGGTAACACAAGAAAGGAAGTAGCTAAAAGCTTGAAACCTTCTGTGTTATTGTCAGACGATTAGTAACACTATGACAAAAAACTTCAAGTCTTAAGTTGCTGTTTCCTAAAATTATCGCTTTTTTAATGTTTTGTGTGATGCCCGGTACACGTAACACAAAAACATTCACTTTTAAGGAAGACGTAACTTCTAAGATATGATTTCCTCGCAAATCATGGCGATGTCAATAAACTAAAAAAATTAGATTGCATGTCAGTCGTAAGAAATAAAAGTTTTAGCTTACATTATAATCTCAAAAAGAAATCGTTCCGGTTTAGTTTCAAGAAAAAGAGTGTATTTTATGAATGCAACCAAAAACATATAATTAGAACACATCTGCAGACGAAAGTATATTAATTCACAAAAAAAAGAAAACATTTGCAAATAAAAAATGAATATATTTTCAAATTAAATAAAACAACAACTACTAAATATTGGAAATAGATATTTTTCTTTTCGACCTTTCTACAGCCAACCGAATATTTAGATGGTTATCATTTGTTGTTGTTGCTAAATCAAAAAAATAATGCTTTTCTCTCTTTTCTTTACGTCTTGATTTATACATAATCTTTGTTGCAATGTAAATTCATTTCATACACTAAATAATGTGCCTAGCTAGCTATCATTTTTTAAAACAATTTTCGACCATTTTCCACTTCAATATTTTCCCTTCGATATTTTTCCTTTCAACCAAACTACGGTCAACCATTTTTTTGTGAAAGCTTGTGTTATTAAGTGATAGTCTCCAATAAGTTCGAGACTCGAACTTCGAGTATCTACTAATATATTTGAGTCGTTCAGTTCAATATACAATTTAATTTGACTTCCATGCTCTTTTTTAAAACATTAACATCGTCCGGCCTCACTCAACTTGCGATCACTGTGTCAATAAAATTTGTACAATGTTTTCATTAATGACTGTAGTGTTTGTGCAGTTTGATAGATTAGAAATGATTTTTGTAAAATATACTTTTAATAATGCTGTTCTAAGTCGGATCGGGCCATCAAAAAGTGGCCCGATTTCGAGGCCTTTTACGAATTAGTTTTCCATAATAAATACATGAAATTCTTAGAGTTTAACAAATCCTGACCAGAGGGCTCTATCAGTAGGTACTGCAATATAATGAAGGTTTAGAATTAGTATAGAGATCTATGTCCCGGATAGATTCTGAAAAATCCTTTTCATACTTATATCCATACGCGTGGGGGAGAAACGCTTTGAAATACCTCTTACTACTAGAGGGATGACGAAGATCTCTTTGCATTTGCTGTTCGTTTCTTTTTTCAGTCATGCACAATATTCCTGCTGATGCACGATGGGCACAGAATGGTGTCACTGTTGCTGGAGGTAACAGGGTGGGCAATGACACCAATCAACTCAACGTTTGACAGAGAGAAGGATAGTCTCATTATTTGTAATTCAAGCAATCGACGCGTCGTACGATGGTCTCGTCATAGTGGCACAACTCAAGAAGAAATCCTCCTGCATAACTTCGCATGTTTTGGGTTGGCCATGGACGATCAGAGGTATCTCTACATCTGACTTCCAAGAACATGAAGTAAGCCGATATCGATTCGGAGACAAGAATAGAATTCTCGTGGCTGGTGGAAATGGCAAAGATGATGAAGGAAGGTGGGCGACAAAACTCCTTCAAGCCACGAAAGGAATGTGATGATAGCATAGTGCATTGTGCAGTTTTACTGCATTAAATCTTAATAATTTCACAGCAATCATTAGCTTTTTAATGGATAAATGTTTCATATTGTCTGAAGTTTTAATTTAAAGTCTAATGAATAAAAAAACAGAATTGTACAGAGGGCGCAAAAGTTTCGTTACACGAAAAGCACAATTTTAATCAACTGTTTAGTGCAACGATAAATCAAACTTATTTACTCCAACATGTCGATGGTTGATCTCTAATGTGAACCCAAAATCTCGTGTCATCTCTAACATCCCCATAGGAATACCAGTGCCACCCACCTGACTGAGCTTTATAACATTACTTGTAAACCAGAAAAAATTGGGTAACACAAGAAAGGAAGTAGCTAAAAGCTTGAAACCTTCTGTGTTATTGTCAGACGATTAGTAACACTATGACAAAAAACTTCAAGTCTTAAGTTGCTGTTTCCTAAAATTATCGCTTTTTTAATGTTTTGTGTGATGCCCGGTACACGTAACACAAAAACATTCACTTTTAAGGAAGACGTAACTTCTAAGATATGATTTCCTCGCAAATCATGGCGATGTCAATAAACTAAAAAAATTAGATTGCATGTCAGTCGTAAGAAATAAAAGTTTTAGCTTACATTATAATCTCAAAAAGAAATCGTTCCGGTTTAGTTTCAAGAAAAAGAGTGTATTTTATGAATGCAACCAAAAACATATAATTAGAACACATCTGCAGACGAAAGTATATTAATTCACAAAAAAAAGAAAACATTTGCAAATAAAAAATGAATATATTTTCAAATTAAATAAAACAACAACTACTAAATATTGGAAATAGATATTTTTCTTTTCGACCTTTCTACAGCCAACCGAATATTTAGATGGTTATCATTTGTTGTTGTTGCTAAATCAAAAAAATAATGCTTTTCTCTCTTTTCTTTACGTCTTGATTTATACATAATCTTTGTTGCAATGTAAATTCATTTCATACACTAAATAATGTGCCTAGCTAGCTATCATTTTTTAAAACAATTTTCGACCATTTTCCACTTCAATATTTTCCCTTCGATATTTTTCCTTTCAACCAAACTACGGTCAACCATTTTTTTGTGAAAGCTTGTGTTATTAAGTGATAGTCTCCAATAAGTTCGAGACTCGAACTTCGAGTATCTACTAATATATTTGAGTCGTTCAGTTCAATATACAATTTAATTTGACTTCCATGCTCTTTTTTAAAACATTAACATCGTCCGGCCTCACTCAACTTGCGATCACTGTGTCAATAAAATTTGTACAATGTTTTCATTAATGACTGTAGTGTTTGTGCAGTTTGATAGATTAGAAATGATTTTTGTAAAATATACTTTTAATAATGCTGTTCTAAGTCGGATCGGGCCATCAAAAAGTGGCCCGATTTCGAGGCCTTTTACGAATTAGTTTTCCATAATAAATACATGAAATTCTTAGAGTTTAACAAATCCTGACCAGAGGGCTCTATCAGTAGGTACTGCAATATAATGAAGGTTTAGAATTAGTATAGAGATCTATGTCCCGGATAGATTCTGAAAAATCCTTTTCATACTTATATCCATACGCGTGGGGGAGAAACGCTTTGAAATACCTCTTACTACTAGAGGGATGACGAAGATCTCTTTGCATTTGCTGTTCGTTTCTTTTTTCAGTCATGCACAATATTCCTGCTGATGCACGATGGGCACAGAATGGTGTCACTGTTGCTGGAGGTAACAGGGTGGGCAATGACACCAATCAACTCAACGTTTGACAGAGAGAAGGATAGTCTCATTATTTGTAATTCAAGCAATCGACGCGTCGTACGATGGTCTCGTCATAGTGGCACAACTCAAGAAGAAATCCTCCTGCATAACTTCGCATGTTTTGGGTTGGCCATGGACGATCAGAGGTATCTCTACATCTGACTTCCAAGAACATGAAGTAAGCCGATATCGATTCGGAGACAAGAATAGAATTCTCGTGGCTGGTGGAAATGGCAAAGATGATGAAGGAAGGTGGGCGACAAAACTCCTTCAAGCCACGAAAGGAATGTGATGATAGCATAGTGCATTGTGCAGTTTTACTGCATTAAATCTTAATAATTTCACAGCAATCATTAGCTTTTTAATGGATAAATGTTTCATATTGTCTGAAGTTTTAATTTAAAGTCTAATGAATAAAAAAACAGAATTGTACAGAGGGCGCAAAAGTTTCGTTACACGAAAAGCACAATTTTAATCAACTGTTTAGTGCAACGATAAATCAAACTTATTTACTCCAACATGTCGATGGTTGATCTCTAATGTGAACCCAAAATCTCGTGTCATCTCTAACATCCCCATAGGAATACCAGTGCCACCCACCTGACTGAGCTTTTTTCACGTTTAATGACCACTGTGCTCCGGCATAAACTGTATTGTTCATACCATAAATAAATTGTCCATCATGGAATGTTGCCGTTCGCCACCCTTTGCCAAATGATGTTGCACAAAACATATCAACAGCAGACAAAGTTTTATAACTTGATCCCTTAACAGGTACTGTTGTTGATATATGACCCATATTCCAACCGGCATAAAATTCTGGACTCATTGCAGCTCCTTGACCGTAAATACCGTACGCCGGTCTTGGTGATTGATCAAATTTTGCACATAACACGGGTAATTTTGTGTTACAATCGGTATCGCCAGTGTATGCGTTACATGGAAAACCGTTTTGAATTTTCCAATTTTGACATCCAACCAAATCAATGCCAAATGTTGATAAATGGTCCCATTTTACCCATGTCATACCCATTTGTGAAGCTTTACCTTAAAAGAGTAAAGTACTCGCAAAAGTAATTTTAATAGCCGTCCATTTTGAAATAAGATCAATTCATTAATTTTACCTTCTCTACTCCAGCATACGACGATCAAGACCAAAAAGAAATAACTAAACATGTTTGAATCTATAAGAACAAATAAATGTATTGATTAGCTTGCTCGGAATCTACTCCTTTTTATACTATATGTAGTTACCTATTCAGTTCCGACTGGTTATGGTTGACTGAAAGTCATGTCTTTGGTTCAAACGAATTGTAATCAACTGAATTTCGTGACAGTAATCAGAATAGCTATCAGATAAGTCTCCAAAGACATGACTTTCAGTCAACCATAACCAATCGGAACTGAATAGGTAAGTAGTTAAGCGCGGTAGTGCCTCAAGGTAGCAAAATCAAATTATTTGCTAAGCTCAGCGATTACAGAAGAATTCCTTTGTGCAGCTGTTTTTTAGCAGTGGCGTGTTCTCCCTAGTGGTCAGTCACGCAGAGCTCGCGACTGTCTCATTCTGGTATTTTGTTAAGAAGTCCTGGTTATTTTCGTTTCATCCTTCTCATATGTATGGTTCGATATGTATGCTTTTCGCATTGTTTAACATTCTTATATGGTGTGATATTCTTCTCATTGTTTCACATTCTTATATC